GATTTCCAATCAACTACTCCTCTCCTTAGGTGAACTCCTGCCAATGATCATGCCACACACATTTCACACATTTTATGCATTTCAACATTTATTACTCAACACATGAATTCACATAACACGTACACTCCACATTTTAACACCTAATTTGTAATTCCCTACCCATAGTAATAAATCACAATTAATTTCACAAACATCAAGGGTGGTAGAATCAAGGTTTTCTTTCTCAAAAACATTTCATACTCAAGCATTTGCTAAGATGCATCATTAAATTAACTCACAAATCACATTTTACAACACAATTAACATTTAGCTATAAAAATTAAGTTTCCCCCGGTTACCTCAAATCTTTGAGAAGTCAAAAGTTTACCCCTTACTATAGCAACTTCCCCAAGCTTTAATGAGCTCGAAAGGTGCCAAGACGAACCTCTCTACAACCAAATCATAAGGATATCATCATCATCTAGCTCTTCAAGTTTAATCAATATAAAACTCCTCATACACTATTTTACTAAATTATAATCACTACCCATTCATACCCAATAGGCTCATTAGATTCCACTAATGCACATTATTATTAATAACATCTCAAACCATCATTAATGCACATTAACCTCTCCCAACTACCTCATAAATATCAATTTTTAGATATTAAATGCTCTTATGGACCAACCACTTCCAAAATCATCAATGTGGTGTACCAATGTATTAAATCACTCTCATTAATCTCATTTTAACCAATGGAATTGGACCCTTTTCCTGGGGACTAAAAATTCATCTCCCAACTCAAACCCTACCAAAACTAATCATAAATGAGAGAGGGAAGGTAAGAAGAAAGCACCATAATCTTACCTTAGCTGTTTGGGAGCTTCAATCTATCCATAATGGAACCAAATATCGTGCCCTAGTAGAGCCAAAACTAAGCTCTTCATTTTCCTCCTCTCTTTCTCTTCTGTTTTCATGCAACTCACGAATCAGATTTATTAAATTTTTGGTCGTGCGTCGCGGCGCATGGCATAGAGGAGCCCGTTATGTTCAAATTGTGTTCGTGCACCACGATGGACCAACCACACACCGCAATGTGTGGCACAGAACACAACTTTTCACTTTTTTATCCTCTTTCCTTACCTAGGTGGCCTGCTATCAATCTGGACCCACTTCTAGGGCTAAAATTACAACAATTATGCCAAATTAAGCCCCCCTAGCCATACACCTCATTAACTCACTAACTACCCTAATTAAGTTAATAAACCAGGGTTAAAATTTTTAAATGTTACACTTTCTAAATCTAGTCTCTATTTTCAAGAATTTCTCTAAATCTCTCTTGCCCTCCAAGCTTCAGGTTACCTCCCAAAATCCACTCTGAATCCCTTTCGTGCTTTCTCAGTTCTCTCTCTATTTTTTTTTGCTTTTGGATTTAGATTTTGTTCCCTATAGACCTCGAGTCTCTCTTCGACTCCGCTCTCCTTCTCTCAAATCCAAATCCCCTTTCCTTTGCAGACTTCGTCAGCCTTATATAGAGAGTAGAGGGGGTGGATTTTTTCAAAAGTTATGATTACTCCCCGCTATTTGCTCCTCCAATCCCACATGCTTCAGTCGAAGATCTACTTTTTCTTTGTCTCTCTCTGCATCGCCAACTTCCTACCGGTCCAACTATACACTCCCCTTGCTTGCAAGCACCTCTTTGTTCTGCTCTTTCCTCTACGTTTCTCACTTTTTCTTTCCTTCCTCTGTGTTTCTATCGGCTTCCTTGCTTTTTTTTTGCCCTCCTCTGTGTTTTCGTCTCTGGGTTCCTCACTGCTTTTTTCATTCATGCAAGGCAAAGGGAAATAAGGGATGAGTGAAACGCTACAGAGATCAACTTTTCACTCTCCCTATATATGTATATATATATTATGTTTAAAGAAATTTTTTTAAAAAAGGTAATTTTTAGAAATTAGTTAGGAAGGAAAATTTGATTTTGAATGAACCAAGAATATCCTCTCTTTTTTTTTGTTAAAAAATTTAACTCTCAACAATTTGATTCCTATTATCTTTGAATTGTTGAGATAATTTGAGAGAGATTTTTTAATATTTAAGCAATATTTTCTCTTCTATTTTCAAAATTAATTTTGAAGACCAATTAAATTTATTTATCTTCTTTATTTTATTTTTTGAAAAATAATCCTCTAAAAGAATTAAATTTTTTTGTATTTTTATATTTTTTGGTTGTTTTATTAAACTAAAAGAAATAAAATCTTAGCCAACAAAATATTGTCTAGTTCAAAATAAAATTAAAGTCTATTAATTAATTTTTTTTTTTTTTTAATTTATCTATATTATTATAATTTCATGTTTTGGTTGAATTTATTATTATTTTCATTAAATTTAAAAGATATCTTGACAAAATACAGTGTTCACACATTGTATCTTTTATCATGGGTCTTTTGAGGTTGTGTTTAATATATTTACATTTATTATCTTTTAACAATATACCCTCTCTATTCTAAATTATAAGACATTTTTAGACAAAATCTTACATATCAACAAATCTTATTAAGTACACTTAACAACATTATCTTTTCAAAATAAAAATATAAACTTTTTAAAATACCCATTATTTAATATATTGAAAAGAGAAACGGTAAAAATTAATTATAGAGAGAGAAAGAGTAATATTAAAATTGATGCATTTAATAAAATTTTAAACTACTCAAAGTATCTTATATTTTAAAATAGAGAAACTCTTTAAAAAGTGTCCTATATTTTGAGATGGAGGGAGTACTATTTAACCTCCTGATTCAAATTTGTTTTAGATCATACATACATATAAGATCTGTAGCTCTTACAATAGAGTGTTTTTTCCCCTCCCCAACTCCAGACTTGAAATGTTGATTAAAGGATTTTAAGTCTTTTATTTCTCAATTGGCCTTAAATATAAAACATTTGTAGCTACTTCGCAAGTACTAAGAAAATTAGTTTTACTCATTAAATTTATATTAAAACATAATTTCCCTTTCACATTAATTTCGCTCCACTTAAATGGTTAGCCTCTCTCTATAATAAATTGTATTTTTCTTAGTGTAACATATAATTCCTCTTTCATATTTATTTGAATTTCTAATTTTAATTAATGATATGTAAAATCTTAAAAAAAATGAAAACCCAATTAATAAACCAGAAATAATATAATGTCTTATATTTTGGACCAAACTCACTCTTCATTAAGTTTTAATTGTCTTATGTTTGAGACTGGAGGAAGTATTTACATGTATTATAACTCTTAATTATATATGTAGGCAAAAATTATGAACGATCGTCAAACTATTTCACTTGCATGAGAATCAACGAACAAGACTCAACATGCGTGACTTCGTAATTTAACGAGCTAATTACATTCAAGTTCTTTACAACACACAATTAGATACCATATGTTAATTAAATGCCACATTTTTATGCTCCATTATTAATCAACCTTGTAACATTTAGTTATGTTGTGGGGAACCAAATATATATATAATTCTTCTAATATAATTTTTTAATTAGGGTAAACACAAGGAGCATGCTTCACTAACAACAAAGACTGAGACTGTCTCCTCCGAAGACTGAAGTACTAAGAGCAAAGAGTATACCTCTCCCAACTAAATTTCTATATAGACAATGGCTGAGATTTAAACTTTCAACTACATGCTTAATTGACGAAACCCTACTTCTCAAATCAACTTTAATTTATGTTGACACGTGTCACAACTATCAACAATATTTCTACGATAGCGAAAGGAATGAGAATGGGTTTGGGCTCTATAAATGTGATCTGCATGAGAACAAATAGATAGGTCCATTTCTTTAATACACGCGTTCAACATATACAGGTTTAATTTTTTCTTACATCGGTCCCAAATAGAAAACGACAATTATTATTCTACTTTCTTTCCCACCATTTATGTTTGTCGCCATAATTGTTGACGCATGCATTTTGGCATTAACTTGACCATCTGAGGAGGAGAGCGATTTGCATATCTTGATTTGTCAGGCTAGTTAAAGAAATCTGTATGTATTGCAAATTAATATTCTAAACACATATTTCTAATTTTTTTATTGAATTATTTAATTTTTTATTAAACCAAAATACATATTAGGTTAACGAATTCCGAATTGAATCAATATAGTACTTTCTTTGTTAAAAAATACAAGACAATTTTAATTGAATTACACCTTCCAATAATTAATTAATTATCTTTAAATTAATACATATTTCCATGTTTTCTATTTATTTAATATAGTATCTCACTTAAAGCTAAATGGTTGAATGATTTATTTATTAAGAATGTTTTTGAAAAAAATCATTAACTATACATTAATAAATTAAAAATATCTTATATTTTTAACAGAGGGTATAATAAAAAATATATAAAACTCATTCAAATTATGCTATTCACATGTCATGTATAATAAGGCTGTGCAAAAGTTCTCTAGTCTTTTATTATTTTAATTGAGTTTATTAAGTTAAAATAGATTATTGCCTCTCATAGAGAAAAAAGAAAAAGATAAACTAAGCGAATACTAAACTAATAGGACTAGTCTCCTAATCTTATGGACCAAATCTAGTCCTACTAAACTTCATGTTATTATCACTAGACAAGACTGGATTATGGGTTGCCTAACCCAATCCTTTTCATGAAAGAGACTGGACTTTGAGTTAGGCTGAAGTCCAGTGTCGTCCAGTCCTTTGTGCAGCCCTTACATATAGTGCAACTCATTATTTAAATTTCATGTACTATTATTGAGAGAAAAAATGTCCATCATGCATGATGCATAAACCACAATTTTGAGGATAGAAATTACTTCTATCTCATTTTGCTTGTTTGTTTCCTATCCAAAATGAGACATTACCACACGTTCAAGATCTGTTCTGGTGTATATCATTGTCATATTCCATCCATGCATATCTTTGAATCCACAATCTACGAGTGCCACTCACAAGGATTGATGTGCTTCTATAAATAACCTTTCATTCTTTATCATCCACGCATCACCACATCGCACAAAGCTCAAGGTTGTCTCTCTCAAAGCCATCACCAAATTATCTTATAAGCAATGGCGAAGAAGACTACCATATTGGTTATCTTCTTTCTTCTCTTTGCATTCACTTCATCAAAATTTGCTTCAGCTTCAGCTGATATGGTGCTTGACGCAGAAGGTGACATGCTTAAAAATGGTGGCTCATACCATATCGTCCCAGCCTTGTCTGGAAGAGGTGATGTGAATGTTATATTTAATTAATTATTTACCTGCTAAACATATTTTAAATTAATTATTTAATTAAGTGTTTAGTTATTGAATTTGACTTTTTTTTTTCCTTTGGATAGTGGTTAATTATTTATATCCTAAATGTCTACGTGTTTTATTAGGAAGTTTGCCGGAATTAAAAATTGTCACACTAAGTTTGTCCTTTTTATAATAAATTATAATGTTTGCATGAATGTTTTTATTCGTATGATTTCATCTACTTTTTAATTCATTCTCTTTGATTTATAAACCTATCCTTTTATTGACCTGGAATGTCTGACACCTAAAACTCATTTTTGATACAATGTTCCTTCTCAACTTTTTAAAATGGTGTGATGTAGCCATTGCTATTAACAAAAGTTAGCTTTAATCATTTATTTTTGAGAAAATGACATAAAAGCACCAAGAAAATTACAGCAAAAGATTATATTCTTGGTCCTTTTTTGTACTTTTTAATCCTTTTATTGCCATTTTTTGATTAATTGACAGTCAAATTTAATTTTTGTTAACAATAGAAAAAATATTGTATTATTTTTAAAAGTTGAGACTTTTGGATCCTAGATACTTCTAGATCTATAATTTAACAGTCAAATTGCTATTTAATCCTTACAAAATTTCTAGTTTTTAAAAACAAAAACAAAATTCACATCTTATCAAAAAATTAATTTAATGTTTATAGTCAAAATTTTGCAAATATTTTTGAATTTCTTTTGGTGAAATACTTTTGAAATTTTATTAATATATTGATCATGTATTATCTTAATACTTTGAACATATATATTTAATGTAATAAAAGTGATAAAAGTATAGATAGACAAAGTAAAAAAATTACATATATGGAAAAATATTCTAAAAATATAAAAAATACTAACTTGAAAATGATTTCAATTTTAAGGTTTTGATTATAATTTAAGAAGAAAGCTAAAAGAATCGAGTAAAACTTTACAGGTTTAAAATATAATTTTGGAAAAATTATTCCCAAAAGTTATTTATTTCTAAGCATCGTTAACTGTAAATATACCTATAGTTTCATTTGCAAATCTGTGTTGTTTAAAGTGGTAAATAGTATTAAATATTGAATTTGGACGAGTCCTTGGGAATAAATAACATTTGAATTTGGTTCTTCAGTTCTTGGGAATAATAATTTTCCCAACATAATTTTTCATTTAAACTAGACATGCTCTATTTTTATAATGTGCAGGAAATTTGTACTATGCACAACTTGGGAATAATACACGTTTTGTTATATTTTTTATATTTTATATTGAATATAGGTTACATCGATAATATGAAATAAAGATGACACAGGGATGACGAGGTCAAGAAATCTTATGACCATACTGATAAAAATTCAAGGGAAAATGATAGAAAATTCCTAAAATATGCAAATGACTCTACGAGGTCTCTCCAAATGGGATAATTCCTTTTAAGTCATTCAATACCTTTATGAAATTAATGTATTTTGTGAAATCATTGTAGTGCCCCAAGTATTGTAAATACTAGTGACTATGGCTTAAGTAATGACTACTTTTCTTTTGTAAATAATTAAAATAAAGTAGCAAATAACAAGCTCTGCATTGCAAGTTTTTTAATAACTAAAGTTCAAATATTGAAAATAGCAATGACTAATTTAGTTTAAGTAATACTCCCTTCATCTCAAATTATAGGACACTTTTGAAAGAGTTTTTCCGTCTCAAAATAAAAACACTTTGGATATATTAAAGTTTTATTAAATACACTAATTACAATATTATCCTTTCTCTTTTTATAATTAATTTTTGTCTCTTCTCTTTTTAATATGTTAAATGAGAGGTATTTTGAAAAGTTTATATTTTTGTTTTAAAAAGATAAGGTTGTTAGGTGTATTTAATGAGGTTTATTAGTATGTGAGATTTTATCTAAAAGTATCTTATAATTTAGGACGGAAGGAGTAACTACTTTTCTTCTGATAAAAACTAAAATATGATAAGTAATTATAACTTTCCTCTTGGAAAATTTTTTAACTACTAAAGTCCAAAGTAATGATTACTTTTCTTTTGATAATGACCAAAACAAGATAGCAAATGATAATTTTAGATTTTGGAAATTTTTAATAACTGATCCATTTCTTTTTTTATTTTAAATTGGGGCTTTATAGTTATTTTATAAAATACATTAATGTCAGAAAGGTCCCAAGAGATTTGAGAAGAACTGTCACATTTCTCAGGATGTCATTGTCATTTGTATATTTAAATAAAATTTTCTGTCAATTTCCCAAAAATGAAACATAAAACTAAATTAAAAATTTTCCAAAACATTAAAATAACGTGATAAATTATCAAATTATATCAGCCATATATGTGATATTGAGCTAAGGGTGTTCAAGTCCTTCGTTTTCCTGGTTTCTCTGCATCAGGTGGTGGCCTTGGACTAGCTGCTACAGGGAACGAAACCTGCCCGCTGACGGTGGTGCAGAGACCTTCTGAGGAAACCGATGGCTTGCCGCTGATAATTTCATCTCCGGCAAGAATCGCATACATCGCAGAGGGTCTTCTTCTGGACATCGCATTCTCTGCAGTTCCGACCTGTGCTCCGACACCGTCGAAGTGGACGATCGTGGAGGAACAACCTGCGGGAATGTCTGTGAAAATCAGCGGTTATAACAATGCAGTTGATGGTAAGTTCAAGATTATTAAATATCAGAGTCTCTTCTATAAGCTTAAGTTCTGTCCTACTGGTGATCCTTGTGGAGATCTTGGCCTTTATTATGATGAAAGTGGCAATAGACATCTGGTAATTGTTACTGATGAGAGTCCACTTGCAGTTGTGTTCAAGAAAGCCTTATAACATATTTTCCCCTTAATTTAACATATTTAGAGAAGATCTGAATTAAAGGGAAAGTTGCACACAAGGACCATTGAAAAATGTTATTTGTAGACAAGAATCAAAAAAGAATTGATTGTTGTTAAAAATGGGAGCATGTACTTATTTTTTACCAAATGGTGATTTGTTATTGGTTATTGTATGGGAATAACATATTTTAGCGGTACTTGTGTGCAATTTTTCCAATTAAGATGTATTTGATGTGAGTATGGTGTACCTTAAATAAACTTGTGCGGCCAAAGCTATGGCTTTCGTTTCTTGTATTGCGGATTTATATACCAATCAATTAAATAAACATTTGTTGTTCCACGTATGCCATTGTAATGTATGACAGTTATGTAAATATTTTATTTGATATGTTAGCATTTTAAATTTTTAAATTTCCAATTTTAGAATTAAAGGCATTCTTTTTTAAATGGAGATGGATGGTTAATTTAATTTCGGCTAAAGTATATATTTGGACCTCTAATTTTATATGATATTTTTGTTTGATCCTTTAATTTTATAAAATATTTTTCAGTCCTCTAACTCTAATATGATTAGTTTCCAATGATTAATTTTTATCTCAAGTACTGTTACTTTTAAAAATTAAACTTAAAATGTCAATATTTGAGAATGTTTTATTAATATTTAAAAGTTTAATATGAGAATTTATTGTTGATGGACATTGTTAGCGTTAAAAGGCTGAAAAGACACTTTATAAAATTGAAGTATTAAAATAAAATCATATATAAAATTAAATGACTACCGGTGTACTTTAACCTTCATTTTATATTCTACTTATTTTAAATTCAAATAATATCAATATTTTTTTAGGAAAATAAGGTTCCGTCCAAACACATTTAAGTGCCCAATTTAATTAGTACAAAAATAATTTTTGTGCTGTACGCTTTCACACATATGTCGGCTCCTGCATTGAATATAATAAGGGAAATAAAATAACCTCTCAAACAATCTTCGTCGATCCACCGTAATAAATTAATTGTTTACTTTATTGTTACATGATGTGACAACGATAACATGTATGTAAAATTTAGTTTTTTTTTTGTTTAAATTATATTTTTTAAAGTGTCTTTAAATTTGAATATTGCTGAGTTACGTTTAAAAAATATATATTTGACTCTTAATTAGTGTAACATTATTTTTTATGATTCGATCGTTTAATATTATTATCTTTACCCGTCAATACTAATTTAAGACTCCCGTTGTATGGGGTTATTTTTACTAATGGTGGTTTTATGGATGCCTCAGGTACATCCTTTGAGATCCACTTTTAGATCTACAAAATGCAAATAGGAAACAGAAAAAGTCACCTTGTATAATTACTCTCCTAAATATATGGAATGGTGATACGGAATGGTGGGGAAGGGGGGAGAGAGAGAAGAGAATAGAGCAAAGAGAAAAAAAAAGGGTGGAGATAATATAGAGAGAAGAGAAAAACTGTAATGACTTGGGAGTTTATAAATTTTTAAAATATGCGACAAACATTTAATGACCAAGTAAATCAATAATTGTGAAAAAATTTGGACTGGCAATTGAGGACAAAAAGTAGAGAGCATGTACCGTCCTAAAATAATAATAATAATAATAATGAAATTTAAATTAATAATGAGTATTTTAATTTAATATTCTAGTTTTCCTACAACAATAGTGGGATGAGCTGCTGGCTCCGTGTAATTCATTCTTGTTGTCAACTTTCTTGTTTTGAGTTCGAATCCCAACTGCGCCTGACAAGATATTTTATTTTGCTTTAACACTGAAATTACCGTAATGCCCCTATTTTAAAAAACAAACAAGCAGCACAAGTAAGAAAATTTTTCCCCGCGCCCTCATTTCTATTTCAGCATCTTCCACAAGAGGAGCTTCAAGAATCCTCTTCTTCCACTCCTCTCCTAGCACCAAACTTCTTCCTCTTTCTCGCCGATGAGTGAGTGATTTTTAGATGTCGTTGCTGTTGTGAATCAAGGCGTGGGTGTTGGAGCTGTCAGATTTTTCTTCTTCATCATCTGTCTCGTTCTACACATCCTTAGATATCTCTTCTCTTCCCTTGTTCGCATTGCCTTTTTGGAATGGTGTGAGTGCGTGTACAAAGCTTCCAGTATTCTTCCTTCGCGTTGCAAACGACCGTCCACTGTAGCTGGTCACCGTTTAGCTCGCTCGTATATCTTCTTCCCTATTTTGTCACTCAATTTTGGGAACCAAGGCTCAGATAATATTTCAAAAGTGGTTAATTAGAAATAAGTTATACAATTGGGATGTCTCAGATAAGTGGATAATATCCCAAAAGAAATGTCAGTGAGTTCTTATTTTCAAATTATTGCTGAATATATTCACATAATTATATTGGTGTAATTTTAATTCCTGTGTTGATTATTATTAATGGAAATAAATGTTAATTCTATGCTTTGAAAGAAAGAAAGAATTATTCTTTGAAGGAGTATTCTTAAATGTTTAATATATTGATAATGTTTGATTTATATATTGGGGAATAATTTATCATTATGATTTACACATAAAGAATATAGATGATATTGTTTTATGTCAAGAAGAGATAAAAATGTTGATTTTATAGACCTACACATGCTTGATTTAAATTGTGAGACTGAATCAGAGTGCTGGTTGCCAATGACAATCCCGTTAGCCTTTTGCACATCATGGTTAAATCCTAGGTAGCTTGGTATTCGTAAGCTTTGTACTCATGCTTGTTATTTGTGACTTTAGTACCCATACTTATTATTCGTAGGCTTCACGTATGTACTTGTTTTGTGGCTTCAGCCGTGCTTGATCATTTTTTGGATATAAACCATTCTTGTTGGTTATTTATGCTCATGAACTGTATGTCTATATTTGCTGATTATTTACCTCGTAGATTATATGTCCACACTTGTTTCGTGGATTCCAACCGCAGTTGATTAGTTATTTAACCTTGTGAATTTTGTATCTATACTTGTTATTCGTTTGATAAAATCATGTAAATAATATTTTGAAACTTATATTTTTAAACTAATCCTATTAAACAATTTGATTTTCATGTATGAATTTCTTTATAATGAGTATTGCATTTCCTAACTATTTGATACAAACATGGTAATTAAAAAGTGGGAGTTGATTGTTTTGTTATCATCATATGAAGATGTTATTGGATTAAGTGTTTAAATGAGATTATATGATTTGAGTTCTGCACTCATGCTATTCTAAATAACTATTTTAATTAAATTCATGCTTACTTCATTTATATTTCTTTTCTTTATTTCCTTTAAATTTAATTTGAGATGTTATTCATTAAAAAATATTTTTAGCCTCATCGTATAGCAAAACTTGCATCTCAAAGTGTTCAATTATGCATTGTATTGTTGAAATGGAGTAGCGAAAGAATTATTTCAGGAAAATCTCATTTTATATAAATTTGAGATGTGTAATAATATCATCATTTGGTCCTAGGTGTTTCAAGTAGGCTATAGGCAAGATCCTCTATTTGAAATGTTCTTTCTCGTTGAGAAATTTTGGGAAGTCTTATTTTTATGAGAGATTTTACTGAAATTTCTATAAGAAATGATGGCTTTTATTTGCATGAAAACTATAAATAAATAAAAATAAAAATATTATATATATAATATTTCTATGCTAAATGTGTTTATAGTTTGAAATTTTTTGAGTTAGAGCTTATGGGATATGAGTTTTGTGTGTGTGTGTGTGTGTGTATTCTATGTCAGTCACACTTTATATTTTTGGGGGGTAGACAGAAACTTATAGGAGAGGCAATACAATAACAATTCTTGTTTGATAATAGGCATCTCTACAAAATAAATGGATTAAGACGCTATTTATAAGCCTTAATTACCTAACCCTAGAATTAAAAAAACATGAATATTCTAAAAATTCTAAAATTAAATGAAAAGATAACCATGATGGAAAGATAACAATATCAAATACTGAAATATAATAATAATTCAAATATTACACAATTAAAACAAAATATTCTTAATTAGTAAGATAAAATATCTTCAATACTTTCAATTATTTATTTTCATTCCATCATTTCTTATTCCCATCAATAAGCCAAGTAATTCCTTTCTTTTGATTATTAATTATATATAGTACTTATAATCCTATATATAAAGTGTTGTTCTAGAATAAATTTATGTTCCTTTTTATAAATCAATTTATACAAAAATATTGATAATTAATTATTTTCTTTCAATTTTACTCTTTCATAATTTTCAAAATGTTACAAGAATCATCTTATGCCCCTTGCCTCGAAATGGATTGGTTTGACATTTAAAAAGGGAAAAAGAAGAAATAAAAGAGTATCAAAATTTCCACAATTCAATACTGTAAGGAGAGATATATAATTATCCAATTAGCCAATTGTTAATAAAGGCATCAGAAACACAGAACAACCCAGTGGATAGCCTAATATTTAATCCAATCAAATCAAGGGAATACACAGTGTTACTTTACAACTGAAGCAATCATCTTTCTTGTAATCCATTTGATGATTTCTTAATTCAAAACTCTCATCTAACTTTTCGGAAGGGACATCTAAACCATCAAATAAATTCGAGTAATTGCCTTATTACGAAAGCAGTTGACGTCTCATAGATAAACGTCAGCACTCTATTTAGATTTAGAATATAATCATAACTGTTGGTCGAAAACGCTTTCAACTTTATTCATGTAACACAATACTTGCTTAGTATAAAATTTAATTTTTAGTCTAAACCAATTTCAAGTTTTCAGAAGAGAAGATGTTAATAGGAGGAAATAATAACCATCACACCACTTCGAGTGACTGGAACAAGCGGAGAAAGTTAAGACAAAATTGCAAGAAATGGCCCTAGGGAAGTAAAACATGTAGTCATGGGAAAAGTTCCCAATATGTCTTAAAAGGGGCTCAGATTTTGATGGAGATGGAGATAGATATAAAAATTGCTCAGTCTTCCCCAACTGAATATATAGAAGTAAAAAATCACTGAGAGCTAAGTCCAGAGAAAGCACCTAGTCCCTTGTAACGTAATGAATCAAAATTTGAACCCTTGTTAGGAGAAGCGCTCACATTTAATTTAGTACTTGTTTTGTTTCAAACATAATTATCTTCAATAAAAAGATATATGTAAATAATAAAAAAAAAATCCTTTGACATGTGAGAATATCCGTGTGCCATTTTCACAGAATTGATTCTTGAAAAATTCGTCACTAAATTTCAATAATTCAACATTTTTGGAAAAGATTGATTCGGTAAACGTCTTTCCCAAAAAAAAAAATTGTAAAGCCATTATCATCCCAAAAAACGAAAGACAAAAAAAAAAAAAAAAAGGGGCCAATATCCATTAGCCAATTGGACAAATTTAAAAAGGCATCAGAAAGAGACAATGTCCAGGTGCTATTGATGATGGGCATAGATATCTAAACAATAATTAAATTAAATCCAGGGAACACACTGCTTAAAACTTAAGCTATCTTATGTTCCATAGAGTAGCACTTAAAAAAGTTTTCAATTATTATCCAATTCATCATTGGTGGCCCAAGTAATCGATCAAGTACTCATTGTGTTGATTAAACTTGAAAAAGTAAAATCAAATTTCACATCCATATGGCATCAAAATAAATTTGTTATTGTTTTCAATGTGTTCCACACGTTTGTTCATATATAGATAATCTAATATCATTGTTTTCTCCATATTTCCATTCAGACTGATCATACATAGATGAATGCGACGTTTCATAGATATAGATTACAATAAGATCCATCTGATTGTTCTAAGATAATCTAACATGAATGTTTTCTTCATACAATTTCCAGACAAATCATAAGCTTACAGTAAGATTAAAACTTACTTAAAAACAAATCTAAAATAAGGGACACAGTAATCGCCTCCTATATAGTAATATTGAGATTGACATTAGAGCCATTCAAAATACCTAGAGATGTTCCTGAGTTCACAATAGTGTTGTTTTGTGTTGATGTTGGAGAAGACCCATCATTGTTGCCTTGCTTCTCTTCTTTCAACTCACTTTGCTTAACATTTGCCTGTTTTCCAATTTTATTGGATGTACCCGAAGGTACAACATTTACTTGTTTTAAAACATCATGTGGAGGCATTCCAGATACAAGATCAAAGTGACACAAAGCAAATGGTCGTTTAAAACGGGAATCAACATATTCAAAGTGTGGGAAAGAAAGATTCACATCAAGGCCTTTCAAAGGACTCCATAGTATGCGAATAAAATAAGTAAGAACTGAATTCATCCCATCACACCGTGTTTTGAAATGAATGTCCCATGCTCCATTTGGTATTCTACACAACCATAACTGATCTAATCTGTGTCGAAATTGATCTTGGTACTGCCAAAAATAATTCCCAGGTTCTTGTCTCTGTACGATGAAACTCCCAGTAGATACTTCAATTTTAGTCGGGCCAAACGCGAGAAAGCCATTGTTTTCTCTTTTCCTCTCGAACTCGATGCCGACTCTTACGTTATTACCTACGCACAAGCAATCATGGAGTATGAAACGCACCTTGTTGTAATCCCTTGCGATGCAAGAAAAGCAAGTGAGTGATGGGTTGGAACGCGAAGTGTAAATGAGAGCGTATTCATTTTTGAATTCTTTACTTGACCACATGAAGAGCTGAGCCTTAACTGTAGGGTCCTCCATCCTAAGGCCCATAGGAGAGCTCAAAGAGTTTCCCATATTCTTGCTATTTCATACATAAACTCTTCAACTTGATAAACGTATTTAACAGAGAAGCTGTATATATCGGGAGAGGTTTGGGAGGCATCTTCGATCATAGACACTGTTCAATTAACACACACACACACAGACACATGTAAACATATATACATATATATATTGTTTTAGAGATAAACTAGCATATATGCATCAGAATAACTTTTGAAAAAATTTGATTCAATTAAATAATTAATTAAAACCTCGTTTGATAGATGAAGATATTCTAAATACATATGTGGGGATGGAAGGGACCTCACGCGGTATAATTGCTTTTTGAAAAGAGTGCTCCCAATACTATAGCTTTTGTCTTTATACTCTTCGTTAGAATTTATCCATTATGCATTCTTTCATAGAATATAGGGAGAAGCTACTTGGGGCGCCAGGAGCATAGAAATTTACATTTAGGGCCCAATACAATCTGAAAACTCTCTACAAACCCAAGGGCCTTAAGTGAAAATATGTTTTAATGGAAAAGATGCATTTGCCCTCCCTCTCTCCATGAATGTACAACACAATATCTATAAATTCTCATCACAATGTCTAGTAATCTAGAACCAATCTAGTAGAAAATAGTTTAGCTTGAAATATACAAGTTGCGTAGGATGAAAGAATAATGGAATGTTCATAAATGCACAATATAATATTTATAAATTTTCAACATAATGTCTTGTATTTGACAACAAAATGTCTAAAAGAAAATGCATCTTTTTTCGTCAAAACATATTTTGGCCTGCACAAAGTTTTCATATTGTATTGGGTCCTAAATGCAAAATCTTGTACTATGGAGATCCTAAGTGAGATTCTCCCATAAATGAATGTGTGTGTGTACTTTATTAACAATTGTTATTAGTAATTGTTCCATAGGCCAATATTTGGATGCGAAGATTATTCTTATTGTTATATTGTTATCATGTTTGCTTAAACCGAGGAACATAAGTAAATAGAAATAACCAAGTGGATCAAATCAAAATAGAGGAATATTAGAGTTTTAAGTGTTTCATCTCAATTAGGCTACGTCCTATCCTTAACTAAATAGAAGTTGGATGGAAATAAAGAATATGATGAAAATAGTTTATCAAAAAAAGGAATATGATGAAAATAATGTTAAAAGATCCCTGTTCAAAGAAAATGACGAAAATAAGAAACTGTAAGCACCTCAAAAGCCTATAATATTGGGTTTTTATGCTTATGAAACTATTATTATTTAAATATCATTATTTATAAATATTCATCCAAAATTTATAAATTATTTTTAAATATTAATAGAAAAACTAGTTTTTTAAAAAAATTTAATGGTGATTTGTAAATTAAAATAATATGCTAAGTTAATAGGTTCTCCTTCTCTAATTTACATATCTTAAAAGTTGACTTGTAAGGTCCTTTTATAAATTTTGGATGAATATTTATAAATAATAATATTTAAATTATTAAATATTAAAATATTTAATATATTAGCATGATTTATTAAAATAAATATAGTAGTTTTTAATTACTTACTTATGTTTCTAGCATTCGTGAACCCATAATCACCTGGTAGATAGTCAAGTTGGTTGGCTAAAATGATATTTTTACATTTAATATGGGTGAAAAATGACACTGGTCTATTATAATTTATTTATAATTTAATGGATTTAATCAGTATTAATTTTCTTACCAGATTATTTCTCTATAATTTTTTTGGTCAACTAATAGTCAAATTAACAAATATTTAACAAAGGGGTAACATTGCTCTATTTTTAATACATGAAGGGCAATATTGCACCACACCTGATGTAATAACCCAGAAATTTTGGTAAATATGAAATTAATGATGAGGTATTTTGATTGTATTTTTATTGATTATGAAGAGGTGGTGATGTGAATGTTATATTTTAATTAATTATTTACCTGCTCAACAGATTTTAAAATAATTATTTAATTAAGTGTTTAGTTATGGAATTTGACCTTTTGTTTTCATTTGGATAGTGGTTAATTATTTATGTCCTAGATATCTACGCGTTTTATTAGGAAGTTTGCTGGAATTAAAAATTGTCACACCAATCGTTTTGTTTGTCCTTTTTATAATAAAATATAATGTTTGGATGAATGTTTTTATTCGTATGATTTCATATACTTTTTAATTCATTCTCTTTGATTTATAAACTTTGATTTATAAACCTATCCTTATAGTTGTTGTATTTCAAAATACAAAATAGTTAAAGGGCAATTTAACCCCCTAAATTATAGGTCCTGAAATGTCTAAGACCTAAAACTCATTTTTGGTACAATATTTTCTTTCAGCTTTTTAAAATGGTGTGATGTAGCCATTACCATTAACAAAAGTTAGCTTTACAGATAATTTTCTTGGTCCTTTCTTGTAATTTTTGAATTCTTTTCTGTTATTTTTAGGTTAATTAACAGTTAAAGTTAGCTTTTGTTAATAGTAAAGACAATATTGTACAATTTGAAAAAATTGATGGAAAACATTGCACAAAAAAATGAGTTGAGGATCCTAGATATTCTTAGATCTATAATTTAGAGGTCAAATTATTATTTAATCCTTACAAAATTTCTAGTTTTTAAAAACAAAAATAAAATTTACATCTTATCAAAAAATTAATTTAATGTTTATGGTCTGAGTTTGCAAATATTTTTGAATTTCTTTTGGTGAAATATTTTTGAAATTTTATTAACATATTGATTATATATTATATTAATACTGTGAACATATATAATTAATGGTAATAAAAGTGATAAAAGTATAGATAGAAAAGGTAAAAAAAAAATACGTATGTGGAAAAATATTGTAAAAATATAAAAAAGACTAAATTGAAAATGATTTAAATTATAAGGTTTTAATTATTATTTAAGAAGGAAGCTAAAAGAAATTAGCGAATCTTTACAGGTTTAAAATATAATTTTGGAAAAATTATTCCCAAGGACGATCAAATTCAAAAGTTATTTATTTCTAAGGATCCTTAACTGTAAATATACCTGTTGTAAATTTGAGTTGTTTAAAGTTGTAAATAGTAGTAAATATTGAATTTGGAGTAGTCCTTGGGAATAATAACTTTTGAATTGGGCTCTTCAGTTCTTGGGAATAATTTTCCCAACAATTTTTCCTTTAAACTAGACATGCTCTTTTTTCCAATGTGCAGGATATATGATGATTAATTTTTACTATTTATAAGTTGGAAATAATGCATGTTTGCTCTATTTTTTATATTTTGTATTGAATATCAATTACATCGATAATATTTAATGAAGATGACACAGGGATGATGAAATCAAGAAATCTTATGACCATACTGGTAAAAATTCAAGGGGAAATTACCAAAAACAACTCCTTGGAATATGCAAATGATTATGAGATCCCATAATATGTGATAAGTTTTTCTAGTCCCTTGGTACCTTCTGACATTACTGTATTTTGTGAAATTACTATAATGCTCTCAAGTGTTGTAAACATTAGTTGTAAGTATTAATGACTTTTTTAATTTAAATAATGACTACTTTTTTTCTATAATTGACTAAAAGAAGATAGCAAATGAAATCACTTCAAGTGATACAAATAGCAATGACTATTTTAGTTATTACTTTTCTTCTAACTATTATCAAAACAATATAAGTAATTACAACTTCTCCTTCAGCAAATTTTTTAATCACTAAAGTCCAAAATAATGACTATTTTTTTATTAGTAATGACTAAAACAAGATAGCAAATGACAATTTCAGCTTTGCAATTTTTTCATTCGTTGATCCATTTCTTTTTTATTTTAAAATGGAGCATTATAGTCATTTCATACAATACATTAACGTCAGGAATGTCCTAAGAAACTTGAGAAAAATTATCATATTTTATAGGATCTCATTGTCATTTATATATTTAAACGAAAATGTTTCTGTCTTCCCCATAATAGAAACATAAAACTAAATTAAAAATTTTCCAAAACATTAAAATAATGCGATAAATTGTCAAATTATATGAGCCATATATGTGATATTGAGCTAACGGTGTTTAAGTCCTTCGTTTTCGTGGTTTCTCTGCATGCCTTGGACTAGCTGCTACAGGTAACGAAACCTGCCCACTGACGGTGGTGCAGAAACCTTCCGAGGAAACCGATGGCTTGCCACTGACAATTTCATCTGCGGCTAGAATCGCATACATCGCGGAGGGTCTTCTTCTAGACATCGCATTCTCCGCAGTTCCGAACTGTTCTCCAATGCCGTCGAAGTGGACTATCGTCGACGAACAACCTGTGGGAATGTCTCTGAAAATCAGTGGTTATAACAATACAGTGGAAGGTAAGTTCAAGATCTTTAAATATCAGAGCCTCTTCTATAAGCTTAAGTTCTGTCCTACTGGCGATCCTTGTGGAGATCTTGGGTTTTATTATGATCAAAGTGGAAAAAGACATCTGGTTTTTGTGACTGATGAGAGTCCGCTTGCAGTTGTGTTCAAGAAAGTCTTATAAATTATTCAGGGGAGAGAGTTAAATTAAGGGAAAAATCGCACACAAGGATCAATATAAAATTAATTGTTGTTAAAATAAGAAGAGGGACTTATTTTTTCCTTATTGGTGACTTGTTATTCTCATTGTCTGGGAATAACAAATTTGAGTGGTTCTTATGTGCGATTTTCCCAATTAAGATGTATTTGATGTGAGGATGGTTGGCTTAATTACTACATAAGTAGAGTTTACGTTAAATAAACTTGTGTGGCTGAAGCTGTGGCTTTCTTTTCATGTATTGTGGATTTATATACAAATCGATTAAATAAACAATTGTTGTTCCACGCATGCCATTTTTTAATTTTCAATTTTAAAATTAAAATTATGTATTTTTTTGAATCGAGATGGATGGTTAATTTAATTTTAGGTTGAAGTGTACATTTTAGCCTCTAACTTTATATAATATTTCATTCTAATTTCTTAATTTTATAAAGTATTTTTTCAATCCTTTTACTTTGACACGAGTTTCCAATGATTAATTTTTATCTCAAGCATTGTTATTTTAAAGAATTGAATTTAAAATGCTAAACTTTGATAATGTTTTGTAAATATTTAAAAAATTTAATATAGGAATTTCTGGTTGGTGAAACTAAGACAGTGTTAGGGTTAAAGGATTGAAAAAATATTTTATAAAATTAAGGGACCAAAATGAAATTTTATATAAAGTTAAAGGATTATATGTATAATTTAACGTTCATTTTATTTTCTACTTATTTTAAATTAAAAATAAATATCAATATCTTTTAAGAAAATAAAGTTCCTTCTAAACCCATTTGAGCACCCAATTTAATTAGTACGAAAAAAAAAATTGTGCTGCACGCATTCACTTATATGGCATCTCCTGCATTGAATATAATAAAGGAAATCTCTTAGCTCACCGGCCTCCGTATGATACCTTTAATATTATAATTTTTTATGAGCCACCGCATGATTATAGAAATTTTATGGTTTTAGACATGACTAGACCTTAGTCTTTTGCACGATTTTACCATAGCCTTGTAATTCAAAAAAAAAATATAATAAAGGAGATAACCTCTGAAACACTATTGGTCGACCACCATAATAAATTAATTGTTTACTCTATTTTTACGTTATGTGACTATGATAACATTTGTGTGACGAGGTTACTCACTGCTCAGTGCTCACTACTTAGTATTTAATATTTTTCTGTTTAAATTATATTTTTAAAAGGGTCTTTAAATTTGATTATTGCCGAGCTACGTTTTTTTTTTAAAAAAAAATCACTCTATCAATTAGTGTAAAATTATATTCACCCATCAACACTAACTTAGACTCCGATTGTATGGGGTCATTTTTATTATTGGTGGTCTCATGGATATCTCGGGTACATCCTTTGAAATCCACTTTTAAATGCAGAATGGGGCAGGGGAGGCGGAAATGGGGGAAGAGAGTAAAGGGGGAAAAAAGAGAAAGAGAGTAGAGATGACATAGAGAAAAGAGAAAATCTTAGAGGAAACGCAATGCGATAACAATTCTTCTTCAATAGTGGGTGTCTTTACAAAATAAGTGAGTTAAGATATTATTTATAAACCTCAATTTCCTAACCCAAGAATTAAAAACATGAATATTCTAGAAATTTTAAAACTAAATGAAATGATAACCATAAATAAAAAGATAATAATAAATACTGAAAGATAATAATAATTCAAATATTATGATAATTAAAACAAAATATTCTTAATTAGTAAGTCAAAGTATTTTCAAACTTTAAACCTTCAATATTTTCAATTATTTCTTTTTCATTCCATCATTTCCTATTCCCATCAATAAGCCAAGTAATTCCTTTTTTTTATTAGTAATTATATGTAGTACCTCTAATCCTATATATAAGTCTTATTCTAGAATGAATTTATGGTCTTTTTTATAAATCACTTTATACAAAAATATTAATAATTAATCATTTTCTTCATATTTTATTCTCTCATGATTTTCAAAATGTTACAAGAATCACCTTATGCCACTTGCCTCGAGAAGGTGTTTTGGCATTTAAAAAAGGAAAAAGAAAAAGAGTATCCAAATTAAATTTCCACAATTTAATGTTGACAAAAGATTGATTCTATACTGCTTTCAAGTAAAGTAGTGATATAAAATTATCCAATTAGCCAATTGTTATAAAAGGCATCAGAAACACAGAACAACCCAGTGCTAGTTATTGGCACAAAGGATAGCCTAATATTTAATCAAATCGAATCAATGGAATACGTAGCGTTGCTTTAAAACTGAAACAATCATCTTTCTTATAATCCATTTGATGACTTCTTAATTCAAAACTCTTATCTAACTTTTCGGAAGAGATATCTAAACCATTAAGTAAATTCCAATAATTGCCTTACTACGAAAGCAGCTGACTTCTCAGAGACAGCCGAGTTTAGTATGCGTTTGGATCTTGGAATTCACCTTTGATAAAGGGGAATCTCAATTATATTATTTAAGCAACCTAAGATTGGAATTAATCTAATTTGCACTTGCAATAGACATATATTCAAGAGCCTTAGGCAATCTTTTAAGACTTGTACATAATTAGATCAAGACTTGATTAAGATATTATAGTATAGTTAGATCACAGATTGCATAATCCACGGATGCATGATCTAAATTAAAGCCATGATTTTAAAGTTGAATTAAAATATGATAGTCAGAGGAAATTGAATTGCAAAGTATAAAAGGAGATTGAAATTCCTAAAATGCTCTTTAGTTGTTAATTTTACCTCAGATATCTTGACTTTATTTTATTGATATTTTTAATTTAATAAAAAATTCACTCTTAGATTGGATAACTTAATTGAGATGAAGACAACTTTTGTTTGTGCCCAAATCCTTTTATCTAGTTCCTTGTGAGATGAGTTAGATTTGTTATACTATGTTTGATTTGTACACTTTTGATGTGTTTAAATTTTGTGGGCATCAGGAACCAATATTTTTAATGATTTAAATTACAATTATTGAGTTGCACTGAGTCAAAGTCATATGGTCCAATTAGTGAAAAATATTCCATAGAAAAATATTTTATGAAATTAAATATGCAAGATTTACTTTGTATTTAAAAGTGGTGATATATATATATATATATATATTGACTTAGATGCATTTGTATTTAACTAGAGCTAGCTAGCAAGCTTGGCCACTTTGCGTTGTGACGGAAAATTGTTATAAAATTTATGAAAAATCCACTAGAAATTGAATTTTTTATGGATTATAAAAGTTTTCGATCTGGCACAAAAGTTTTATGATGAACCTTCTCATCATAAAAAGCTAATCATCACAAATTTTATATTTTGTTTTAGCATCTCTAAAACACATGTTGTTAGTGATAATATCACTACAAAAAAATTGACTTTTTGAAAAGTCACCATTGGAAGTTTTCATTTTGTCGTTGCAAGAGGTCTTGTTGTTAATTTTATATGTGGCAAGAATATAAGTCATTGCTAAAAGTTGAGAATCAAAGGTGACAATTGTCACTGCAAAAAGGAAAATTTGCCATCATAGAAAGATAGTCATTGTTGAAAGTTGAGAATCAGTGATGACAAATGTAGTCGCACAAACCACATATCAACGGCAACTATTTGGTCATCGCTGAATGTTAAGTATTAGCTGTGACATTTGTTGCCACAGAAACTACTAAAGTCACTGTTGAAAACTAATGTTGGTTTTACCACCCATATGGCACCATGTCACCCCTCCACTTGTCGCCCTCACCTCACGCCATGTGTCATTATGTCACTAATTTATATTTCATTTCACAAGTTGCCTCCTCCAAGGTTTGAACCTATGACCTCTTCTTTTTGTGTCCCACCATTTTACCATTGAGCTGGAATGAACCTACCATCTATTGTTGCATAATTAAATATATATATATATATATTATTAAACTATACAAACACACATATATTTTAAATATTAAATATTATAAAATATCATTACTATCATTAAATACTTCAACTTAATTATTTTAATTTATTAAAATTGTAAATTATATTATTTATTTTGTCTAAAGTAAACTATAAATATAGTTGACACAATATCATTTGTATTATTTATTCTATTTTTTTTACTTCTTGACGTTATTATTATTTATAATTATAATATAAAAATATCTAAGAATAAATAGTAAAAAAATATATATGATTATAAATTAGTTCATAATTATTTATTTTTCTAGATAGTTTTATTTAAAAGTTTATTTTTACTTTTAATTAACAATAACTCTTAAGTAATGTAATTAGCTTGTTTTTACATTACATTTTAATTTTTAATTATTTTTCATTTTTAAATTATAATTTTATAAGAAAATTGTACATTATATTATCTTTTTTATTATATATTTATGTTGCAAGATAGCATCAAACAAAAAAAAATAATATAGCATCACATACATAGATATATTTCATATATTGTAAAAGTTAAAAGTAGAATTTTAGAATATCTCATTTTTCTTCTTTTTATCTTTCTTTTTCTATCATTAGCTATAAAACTGGGAACATTTAAATTGGCATCAAGCTTTAAAGTTATTGGTATTAAATGTAGAATTTGAATTGAAAAAATAAATTAGATGAAATATTATTCTATGAATGAATAAATTTAACTATCACATATCTAATTATGATAAACAAGTAGTGTTAATTTTTAAAATATCAATATAATCATAAAACATTTGAAAATTGATACTCATTACCATATTATATGCATTTCAAATTAAAATATCAAATATTAGGTTTTTGAATAAATTTATCACTTCATATAGGGGTATGCATTAGTCAATTCAGTTTGATTTAGTGTTAATTAACTAAAATCAATTAACCAAACTGGTCTAAATAGTTGCACTGAGTCAAATCAAACATTTTTTGATAACAAAATTGATGTAAAATAATATGTTTGGCTTAATTCTTTACTTTGGCTCATTATGATTAAATAATACATTAATCTTATTTGAAAATAATTTCATTATTTTAAAGTCACAATTTAACCATGAAATATATTAATAAAAACTTATTATGTTGTTTTATATATTCATTATAAAATTACAATAATACAATAAAATTAATATCATAAAAAGTTGAATATTAGATAAAACAAAAAATAAAAAATTATGATGATAATAAAAAATCAAACTTTTAGCAGTGAATTTGAATGTCGCCATTGAAAGTCTCATTTTCAACGGCAAACTTTCAACGGCAACTCTAAAAAGTTGCTACTAATTGTCAACTTTTAGCAGTGACTAATATGTCATCATTGAAACTTATAACATAAGTTTTTATTTTAAAATATGTTGACAATTACCAGCGATGTTAAAAAGTCTTACTTTCTACAGCAACTCTAAAAAATTGCTGCTGATTGTTAACTTTCAGCGGCAATTTATATGTTGCCATTGAAACTTAAACCTTTAGCAGCGACATGCACTTATTGCTGCTGAAAGTCTGACAATCAGTAATGACTATATATAGTCATTGCAAATAGTCAAATTTTTAGTGACGACTTTTACTATTGTCGTAGATTGTTTATTTTCAACGACAACTTTTTGAAAGTCATTTTTTTGTATTGATATATAATTTGATTTGATTAGCTACAAATGCATAAGTTCAAATATATATGTTAGAAAGTTTCTTATTAAATTATGTTAGACTTAAAACTCTCTAGATTAAATTAAATCTACTTGTACAAAACACGTGCATAACCGCACACACCATGAACCACAAATTTGAGACCTCCTTATGGACTAAAAGAAAACCTGAAGTCTTCAGACACTATACACACTACATTGGCTTTAGAAGCTAAAAAGAGCGGTCGTCAAACTCTATTCAGACCATAAGGTTTTTCTTTGGGTTCTTCTAATGATTCAGACATGTCAACCAAAAAAGTCCTACATCAAGAAGAATATGATGATGTCGAAGCTTTGGGAAAAGGATGTATTTGGTTTATAAATTATCAGATCGATGGAATACCAAATTATAAGGTATTTATAGAACTTACTGTATATATAATATCAGTTCAATTGTCATATGTTGACAAATTATATTGTGAATTAATGAATGATCTTGGAAAAGAATGAAATAAACAATCGAGTTTTATTGTCCATGTTAAGGATTTCATGGGCAAGATATTAGGGTTTTATGTTTAAGATTTAGGATTAGAATTTGAAATAGTAATTTTTTCTAGGTTACTTTGACAAATCTTCTATTGGCTTGCACGTTCCACTATGTTGAAGTTCTCTCTTTGTCTTTCCACTTATATAACAAAAAAAATTGAGGGATTGATGTTGATAGATAAATTTTCTTTCCACCTATGAGCGCGTGCACTGACAGATCTATAGATGAATAATTGGAGAGTTGAAACTTTGATTAAATAAAATTAGGGACTAATGTTTATTGTTAACATTCTTAAAAGAAATCAAATATCATTACAAAGAAATGTCAGAATCAAGAGGGACTGATGTACCCCAACCCCTCCCCTCTTAGGGTTAGCTATCATCGTGGCATAAGCAGTGAACAAAAACAGTTTTTTAAATATTTTGCAAAGAACATTTGAGGAATAAGTATTGTACTCACACTCCTCATCCTGGACTCTATGGCTATGTTTTTTGAGAAAATAATTTACTCACATATAGGAATTCATTATTTACATTTGAATTAATGTGAGTTTATTATGGCATTAAGTTTTTATTTTTTATTTTTTGAATGAAACAGGTGCTTATTTGGGATATTGACGCTCATCCACCATGCTGTCCCTGGAGCTCAACATTCCAAACCAAACGGGTTTAACTATTTTTTAATAATCAGGGAAATGCAATAGAATAATAACCCAGTGACACGTTCAGATGGGCCTGTGGTATTTGTCTAATTTAGCGCTTATTTTTAGTCTTTTCATTCATAGCTAATCGTTAGGTCAGGAAGATTTAATTTGAGAGATGTCAGTGTCATATTCAAATAAAGTTTACCTTAGAACAATAATTGCAGAAATGGCTTTGCCCAAGACTTTTATTAACTTTATATAGAAGTAGGGTCAAAAACCCTAATACAAAGTAATGAATAAATATATTTACAGTAAAGAATACAAATAGCTAATTACAGTAATACCCATAAAATATCTGAACACTTAAGTGGGCTCGGTATTATGTTGTGGCATTAGGCTTATGGACTTCAAACTTTATTAATGCTGACTTGGGCTTATACGCTAATGTCTCAACAAGGCCCCTCAAACGAGAGACTGGGCTCTTCACAAGTCCGAGTTTGTCTCGCAGCGTCAAAAAATGAGAGTGGCTCATCACTTTTGTGAACAAATATGCTATGTTCTTAGAAGAAGGAACATATCAAACCAAAAGCTTGTGGTCAATCACTTGATCTCTGGTAAAATGGATATCAATTTCTATATGTTTAGTTCAGTTGTGATATATTGGATTGGAAGCAAGGGCAGAAGCACTCAAGCTGTCACACCAAGCTATTGGAATATGATTGAGCTTTATTCCGATCTCTTCCATCAAAAATTGAAGCCATACAAGTTTCAAAGCAAGATCTACTAACGATCTGTACTCTGATTCTGTGCTCAACTAGTGACAATGCATTGCTTCTTTCCAGACCAAGCTATCAGACAATTTCTGAAGAAAACACAATAGCCCCCAAAGGATCATTGGTCATCTATGCAACATGCCCAATCAGCATCAGAAAAACCTTGTGAGTTAAGATAATTGCTTGGTCTGATATAAAAACTTAAGTCCTTTGTACCCTTTAAATATCGCAATAGACGCTTTACTGCCTGCTAATGAACAGTAGTGTGAGCTTGAAGAAATTGACTTAGTCTATTGATCGCAAACATAATGTCTAGCCTGGTATTCACTAAGTATTGCAGTGACCTAATAGTTCTTCGATAAGTAGAAACATCTGAGAGAGGTACACCATGATAGAGAGGTAAGTTCTTGTTCACTACTAAGGGTGTCGGAACAGGGGAACAATTTGACATCCCAAATCTGTGAAGAAGCTCTTCAGTATATTTTTCTTGCTTCAAATAAAGCCCTATAGAGCCTCTATATGTTGCTATTCCAAGAAAATGATGCAAATTCCCAAGATAAGAGGAAACAGAACATGTAATTCTCTAATAAATACTAAAGGGCAATTTCAGATTATTACCGATAACAATGATGTCATCAACATAGATTAGACGAAACAAAATATCTGATTTTGTTCTGAAGGAAAACAAAGAATTATCACATTTGGAGTAAGTAAACTTGCAGCTTAGAAGTGTGTGTTTTAACCTCTTAAACTAGGCTCTTGGAGCCTGTTTAAGCCTATAGATAGCTTTGTTTAACAAATAAATGTGATTAGGAACCCTCTTGTCAACAAAACCTTTTGGTTGTCTCATTAAAACTTGTTCTTGGAGTAGTCCATTTAGGAAAGCATTATTTATGTCCAGCTGTCAAATTGGCCAGTTAAAACAAATAGCTATTGTAAGAATAAACAGCAGAGTAAAAGGCTTTAGAACTGGACTAAAAGTTTCATCATAGTCAATTCCTAGGTATTGTTGAAACCCTTTTACAACTAATCTAGCTTTAGCCTTAAGAAAAGATCCATCAGCACCAAACTTTTTTGAATAACCACTTGCAGTCAGCAGGCCTCTCTTTTCCAGTATAGAGTACTAAAACCCAAGTTTTGTTTCTAATAAGGGCATTAAATTCTTCACACATTGCTTTTCTAAACAATTCAAATTTTAAAGCTTCTAGAGTACTTGAAGTTTCAGTGATAATTTCCTTTGAATTTTCAGTAACTAAGCCAACATAAGGAATTTTGGTTTTGAAAATACCTGACTTACTCCTTATGACCATTTGATGTTGATTATGACCAACATCAGATGATATGATTGGTGGCTGAATTGTCTCAATAACTAATTCTGCAATAGAGTGAGATTGATTAGAATCAGAGGAAATAAGAATATCACTAGAGATTTGTGTGTAATCACGAGCACTTTTTCTAGTTTCTTCTTCTTATATTTCTTCAATCTTGTCACTTTGACCTTGTATAATTATATTTTGTGCAGAAGAAGTATTTGACTGGGCTAATTGGACATCGAACAAGAGGCAAAGAAGGCAGTGGCTTGAAGAATATCTGAGGATTAATTTCTACTTTAGGTAGTTTTTTGTTCATGAAACCTTCTGAAAAAGGGAATGAATTCTCATCAAAAATCACATCTCTAGACATATATATCCTTCCTTCAAAGCTTAAGGACCTAAATCCTTTGTGATGATTGTTGTAACCCAAAAATACACATTTAATACTTCTAAACTGCAATTTATGCTTATTGTAGTCCCTTAGATAGGGATAACATGCAGAACTAGACTTTTAAGCTATCATACTCAGGAGATACATTGAATAGTTTTTGATGTGGTGAGGAATCACTTAAAACAGGTGTAGGTAATCTATTAATTAATACTATTGCTGTATGAAATGCCTCCCACCAATAGTTGAGAGGCATATTAGCTTGGGCTAGTAAAGTCAAATCCATTTCTACAATGTGTCTTTGCTTTCTCTCAGCCCTTCCATTTTGAAGGGAAGAGTGTGGACAAGAATGTTTGAAATGAATTCCAGCATCTTGTAAACACTTAGTGAAACTTCTGTACTCCCCTCCCCAATCACTTTGAACTATCTTTGTTTTCCTCCCAAATTGATTTTCAACATATTGTTTAAACTTTAGGAACATTGGTAGAGCTTCATCTTTAGTTTTAAGAGGAAAAATCTAGCTGTAACGACTATGATCATCAAGAAACAGTATATAATACTTGTAACCATTTAAGGATTGTATTAGAGAGGGACCCCATAGATCAATATGTATTAGATCAAGAGGATGTAAGGCATGAGAAGTAGAGACTTTGAATGGAAGAGAATGAGACCTGCCAAATTTACAAGGTTCACAAAAAATAGGTTCACAACTTTCATTCAACTTGACTTTACAAGAATCAAGAACTTGATTTAAGATCCTAGGACTAGGATGGCCAAGCCTATAATGCCATAGCTTTTTAATAGAGCTAGATTTAGAACTAGCAATATTATTTTTGTTGTTTTCAACTTGTTCACCCGAGAGACCTTCATGAGAGCCTCCAAAATTGCTAAAAAAGTTTTGCTGCAGATTAACCTTTTAACCATCCACCTTGTACAGTTCTCCTCTACTTCTCACTCCTTGAAGCAATGTAGTTTTTGCCCCCTATTTCTTGACAATAGTAGAAGAAGAATTTAGAAGTACCTTAGCATGATTATCATCTAAAATCTTAGGTATACTAATCAGATTCTTCTTAGCACTAGGTGCATAGAGAATATTATTAAGAGCAACATTTTGACTAAGCACATTTTGAATATTAGAAGAACCAATCTGTTCCACCGGCATATTTTGACCATTAGTAACAAATAATTTGACCTTACCATCAATTTTCATTGCATTTTCAAGGTTGAAAGAGTCATTAGTAATATGAGTTTTAATACTGCTGTCCAAGTACCATGAATCATCATTCACCACTTCTGGTGAAGCATAGTAAATAGAATTAAAGGATGATTTTCCATAGTCAAAATTGCTTCTGATGGTTGGTGGTTTAAAGGACCTATCAAACCATTTAAAGCAATTCTTGACGTTATGCCTCAGTTTGTCACAGAGAGCACACGGTGTCTTATCACCACCATGATTAAAACATCCTTTCCCTCTAGTTCCACAATCACGAGTGCCCTGCCAGCCACCATGAGAACAAGAAGAATCAAAAACAGTAAGATTAGCAAATTGGGTAGAAATATTACTTTGGTTAAGCTAATTCAGCTGCTCAAGTCGAGATTCATGAGTGAGTAATGAGGCTGAAAAATCAAGCCAACAAAGATCTTCCTCTTTAGAAAAGCTATACCACAATAGCATTGTATTCAACATCAAGACTTGCCATAACTTGAAGTTGTAAATCAGAGTTGGAAACTGGACTTCTAATGAGAGCAAGACTCTCGACTAATGTTTTCATTTTGGATAAGTATTCTTGCATTGAGAGAGAACCTTTTGTAGTTCTTTGAAGTTCAGAACACGATATGAGCATCCTAGCTTTGTTTTGAGCCCCTGCCACAGCACAAGCAACTCTCCAAAGACCAGCTGAAGTTGAAACTCCAGTAATTTTAGCTGAGACATCAATGGTCATAGTGTTGAAAAGCCATCTAAATAAGAGTTGATCAGCAGCTACCCAGTCTTCAAAATTTGGATTTATCTTTGAAACATCATTTACCATAACAAACTGAGAGGGACACATATCGGTGCCATTGATGAAGCCTTCGAGTTTATGGCCTTTGATAGTGGGAAGCACACAATGAGACCGCAAAGTATAATTAGTTCTATCAAGCTTGACAAAACAGTGCTAGTTAAGAGAGGTTGAACCGAATGAGATTTTCAGGAGGTTAAGAGTTGAGTGAAGAGAGAACTTATAGGAGCTAGGGGTTTTTGGAGAGGTATTAATGCTTTTGTCAGCCATAGAAGTAAAGTAAGAAAACCTACACAGTGGCTCTGATACTAAGATAAAGTTTACCCTAGAATAGTAATTGCAGAAATGGCTCACGCTACTTAAGACCTTTATTAACTTTATATAGAAGTAGTGTCAAAAACCCTAATACAAAATAATGAATAAATATATTTACAATAAAGAATATAAATATCTAATTACAATAATACCCATAAAATATTTGAACATTTAAGTGGGCTTGGTATTATGTTGTGGTATTGGGCTTCTGGACTTCAGACTTTATAAGTGCTAACTTGGGCTTACATGCTAATGTCTCAACATATTCCATACCAAACTGGTTTAAATGCTTTTTTCCTCCTCATGCATTTTTACAGTAATTCCTTTGGGCAGTTTTTATTTTAGATATATATGGTGCTTGTAATTGAGATAAGATGTCTTCTTTAACTTGTTAGGTTTAAGAGAACATCCTAGAGTGTGTATATGTATATATATATATATATATATCTGTTTTAACTTATTGGAATTGAGAGAGTATCCTGAAAAAACACTTGCATATGTATATGTGTGTATAGATATATATCCTTTAGGATTGTATTTTAAAAGAGAAAATTCCTCACAGGCCTGTAACACATGGGCCTGTTGATCTTTCTCTCTCTAATTCTTCATTTCTATTTTTGAATTGTAAGACTGCTTTTTATGCTATTATCTAATATATTCATTTGACTTTCTGTCAAAAAAAAAAAGGAGGGTATTCTAAAAGAAACTTAATTATATGCTCAGGAAAGCCTTTTCGAACGAGGAAAACTCTTACAGGAGCCCATTAAGCACTGCATAGAACTTGAATATTTCTTTGCTTGTCATGATCAGAGTGCGAACTGAAGATATGATTTTCATTATCTTGACTTAAACTTGCTAACAGGACACACATACCTGTGTGTATATAATAACTAATTAAGATGCTTGGTTCATTTTAATTTATCTGTCTATTTATTAATTATTTTTTTCCTTCTTCAAGGCAAGGTGCCCATTATAGGAGAATTGATTGCAAATGCAAGGAAATAAGGTATTCTTGTGGTACTTTTGAGCAGTTTTATGCCAAGGCATGCTTTTATCTTCCACATCGTATTTAATGTTACAAGCTTACTAAGATTTTAGTCAGTTAACGTTGATATATTCTTGTTCTGGGTATATATCTCTGGACATAAAATTTTTGCTAGGTCGCTAGTGAGCTTAAGGTCATTCCAGGTTCTGTTCAGTTTCGTAAGGCATATGAAGAAGCTATCAAGTATTGTTCGGGCTTATATTCAGGCCATTTCCTTTGTAAAGCAACCAAATTCCCCTGCATATTGGTAGAATAACTATACGTGTGTGTGTGTATATATATATATATGGATCCTTTTTAATCTGCATTACAAAATATTTCAATCCAAAGACTTGCATCCTTTGAAAGTAGCTTATCATTGGAATATTAGATATAGTCAAATATCCAACAGTTATGAGTTTTCATGTTTGCAGATTCAAATTACTCGAGCAGTGGCTATTCTTGGTGATCATATATCAGGTTCAAGTTTATACCCTCGCCTCCTTTTCAATATCAACTCAAATACATTGATAATAATACATTTACTCTCGGGAAAAAGGAGTTAGAATTTCCTAGTTTTCATATTGGCTTGACTTGCATATATTTATGCTGAGTTGTGTATATATTTATTTTTTTTTCTACCATTAGAAAAATAAAAAGAAAAAACCTAAGATGCAATGAAGCTTTAGAGGTGTTTTTTTTTTTTAAATTAACCTCAAGCACCTTGAAATTTCTTATTGCATAAGAAAACGTGAAATCAAAGGGTTGTTTATAGGTGGGAACAGATTTTATTAATGACCAAAAAATAGGTTTGTAAAGTTGCTTGTTATGTGGCTTGATAAGGTTTTCGGTGTACACAGTTCATATGTTAAAAAAGGTTTCTTGCAAGTTGAAAACTTCGGCAGTGTATAATCTAGTATCCTTGTAATTATGTACACAGAAATAAGAACTAACGAATTCCCTCTAGGCTGACTTTGTTGTGCTGTTATGCTTTGTCTTGATCCCAAATTTATGCTTGGATACAACATTATTTAGCTAGTCAACAAGACCATGGCATTGAAGTGTAATAACAAAACACAATAACCAGCTAACTCAGTCCTGTCTTTTCATTATTAATAAAAGACTTGCGTTACTAAATTCAAGTAAAATGTGATTATGCTTTTAATGAGGTGAGAGCCTAATGCTATATTTTGATTATTAATTACCTAAAAAATTATGAAATTGCGAGTGCTCATTGCTTCAATTTGTTTGCTTTGAAAATTCATCACAGTAATTTACTTATGTAAAAATCTCATTGAAAATTTCATCCTTGTACAAAAACCTAAAATCTATTGTCCTAATATAATTTTATAAAAACACAAATCCAGAGGAATTGACGGAAGGATATTGCATTAGTCATTAATATGCTGTGAGTTCTACTACTAGTTCTTTTATTTCTTGGTAGCTGTATTGTTTTGTCTCAATTCTCATTCATAGCTGTTATTCATTTTTTGGAATTTGAGTAGAAATCATACAACTCGGTTTATTCTATAAGAGTTTGGTAATTTAAGAAGTGTTGTGGATATGTAATCTATTAATATTTCAGAAGTAAATTTAAGTCGTGCTTTAGGTTTTTTTGTGTCGCTCATCCTTTTGTATCCCAGAGAGTCTTTCAAATAACCAACTCTGGGGTTTGATTCCTTTTGTAATCCCTTTTGTTTTATTCCTAATGCATCTTTTTTATGGTACAGTGCTTCCCTACGAAACTGAAATGGTGAAACATTATATTAGAGATCTGCTTACTTCACTAAGTGCATTGCATACTTCGGGTGACCGAATTCTGAAG